CCACATCATGTAGAAGGCAGGTAGTGTTAGCCTGACTCATCACTGTTGACGCTGACCTTGATCCCTTGGCAAAGGTGATGTTTATCAAGTTGCTTCACTGTAAATTTATTATTTCCTCCCCCTTTTTCCATTCTGTGCCTTTGGAATGATGTCAGTTTGTGTAGCCCACGCTTAAAGATGGGGAAATAAGCTACACCTCCTAAAGGCTGAGTATTTACATAAATTATTTGAAATTCTTCTGCAAGAAGGGTTTCTTTATTCTTCCCCTTTTAATTTATTCAATAATCGATTTATGTCTGTATGGACTTGTGGATATTTATTTAATCATTTGAATTATAATCTAGTGTGTGTCTGTGTGTACACACCACTTTAATTTATAGTACTACTTTATTTTTTGTTCAAATATATCCAACTTTGGATACCAGGATTGCCTTCTGTTGACTGTCTGTTCCACTGACATATCCCAGCATGGACAGGGTTTTTAAACTACTTCCTTGTTGCCCATGTAGTGGTGCACACCTGTAATCCCAATGGCTTGGCAGGCTGGGGCAGGAGGATCGAGAGAGTTCAAAGCCAGCCTCAGCAACTTAGCAAGGCCCTGATCAACTCAGTGAGACCCTGTCTCCTAAATAACATATAAAAAAGGGCTGGGGATGCGGCTCAGTGCTGAAGTGCCCCTGTGTTCAATCCCTGGTGCAAAGTGCTCATTATTTTCTAGCAATGTAGGGTGCTCCGGGGCCATCTTAGGTACTTCCCACCCTGGTCCTAGGATCGGCGGTTTCTCCAAGGAGTCCTGGTTGCTTTTGTTGACGAATGGTCTTGGAGAGCAAGATCTTGGTGCTGTGTGTGCTCACTGCTACTGAGGCACCCTTGCCCATAGACCCTCTTCATTTGTGTACATGCGTGAACACACACTTGCTTCCCTACACATATCTACAAGCATTTACCTGGGCCATCATCTCTCTCTACATTAATGCTCAAGTTCACACTGGAATCTCCAGTCTACGCCACGGATCATCTTGATTTCCTCTTTCTTGTCTAGAATCACCCTCCCCACTCCATGTACTTTGGCTATGTTGAGTTCCTGGACACAGGTGCTGTGGAATCTGCATGGTCAACCTGTCCCGCTGTGGGGAACAGCTGTAGTGACTAGAAGGCACTGCTCAGCGGCCACCTGCTTACCTCTGGCCTTGCACACTCGCTCTCTCCCAGGGGTTCTAGGTCAGCAACCCCACCCCTCAGTGAAGTCGCTTCATACTTTGTAATACGATGGGGTTGTTTTGCCACACTTTATTTTCCATCCTGAGATCCTCCAGCTCCTAAATGATTTTGTTTTTGCTTGTATTTTCAGATTCATATTTTGTGCTGTAAAGTCTTACAGGTTTTGACTAAGGCCAGCATCACAAACCACTTTACCCCATGCCCCTGCGTCCCCCCGTCTGGCCCTTCCCTTGGCCCTGGGCACTCCTGACAAGGGCTGGTCTTTTTGCTGTCACATTCGTTTCGTCTTTTCCAGAAGGCCCCACAGCTGGAATCACACAGTACGTGACCTTTCAGATGAGCTTCTTTTTTATTTTTTAATTTTTAAAAATGTATCGGTTCTTTTTAGTTACCCAGGACAGCAGAATCCATTTTGATAGAATTATACAAGCACAGAGAAGGTCTTTTTCTAGTTAAGATCCCATTCTTGTGGACATTCGTGATTGTGAGATTCACTGTGTCGATTTCATCTAAGGACGAGGGGAAGTTATGTCAGTTTCAGTCCATTGTCTTTCTCTTCCTATCCCCTCCTCTCCTTTCCCCATTATTTAATCTATTGAACTTCTATTCTTCCCTTGCCCCCTTGTGTGTTAGCTTTCATGGATCAGGGGAAACATTTGACTTTTGGCTTTTTGGGATTGGCTTATTTCACTTAGCACGATGGTCTCCAGATCCATCCATTTACTGTCAGATGCCTTAAGGTCATTCTTCTTCATGGCTGACTAATACTTCATTGCATCACATTTTCTTTATCCATTCATCTGCTGGAAGGGCACCAAGGCTGGCTCCATAGCTTAGCTATTGTGAATTCAGCTGCTACAAACATGGATGTGGCTGAGTTACTGTAATATGCTAATTTTAAGACTAGCTTCTTTCACTTAGCACCTTGTATTTAAGCCCCCTGGGTATCTCTCTGATCTCACAGGTCCTTTCTTATCACTTTACCTTGATTGCTGAATGACATTTCTTTGTTTGCATGTACCACAATTTGTTTAACCATTCACCTGTTGAAGGAAACCTTGGTTGCTCCCAGTTTTTAGTGATTATAAATAAAACTGGTGCAAAAATTGGGGCTTTTGCGTGGGTGACGTTTTCAAGTGGGCTGAGTAAATCTAGGATGATTATTAATGGATACAAGACTGTTTCACTCTGTAAGAAACTGTGGCTTGTCCCTTCGTCTTCCCAATAGTATCTTTGAAGTGTAATTGTTGTGGGGCAGGTCGCTCAGAAAACACACCAAGTCCCAGTTTGTCCAAATGGAAGAGTCTTTATTTAGCCCGTCGGCCAGGGACTGCCCCCCGCAGGACCCATAACTGTCTCTGCAAGAAACAGCCCCGAGACTGAGCATTTTAGGATATTTAAAGGCAAAAACCACATCTGAGGTGACATAGCTGCAAGCAAGCAGGTACAGAAGTGGAATCGGGTAGTTAGCGAGATAATGCAATGGGTGGCATTAGTGTTTCCCATGAGACTTTCCAGGTTGGAATAGCAGCAAACCAGCAGAAGGGAAGTGGGTCAAGATGACCCTAGTTGAGCACAAGTTAGAGAATGGCTACTAACATCTAGACAATCAATCTCCGACAAGGTACATTGCCCAAGAAAAATGGAAGCCAAAGAGAATAATTTTACCTTGAGTAAGAGTTGCTATTTTGCGTTGCCAAGTATGTCATGCTAGGTGACTATTAGTGGGTGCAAAGGTGGGGCTTTCCCACGGGAGAAGCAGTGCTTACATGGCGTGGAGTCTCAGGGTAAAATGGAGTCTGTTTGCTCATTGTCCATAAGCCTGGCCCTGACATAAACATTTTAGTTTAGTGAAGTCCAGTTTATCATTTTGGGGACAGGGAGGGAACCCTACAGAGGAGTATGTTCAAAACAAGGAAAAGAGATTTTTCTTTTCTTCTCTTCTCTTTTTGCAGTGCTGGGGCTTGAACTCAGGCCCATGTGCTTGTTAGATAAGTGTTCTACCACTGAGCTGCACCCCTGCCCCAAAAGAGGATTTTGTGGGTTGAACAACCTGTGATCTGGAAATGTCCTTCATTCTAGCAGGGAAGTCTGCATCTTGTGACTTCCAGTTATAAAACTCAAACTCCTATGTCTTGGGACCCTTGCAGTCTCAGGAAGACTGGGGTGGCCAGGTACTCTAATTTAGATAAAGAAGAACCTATAACTTTCTCAAGCAGTGGTGTGTTAGCTGGAAGGGAAAATGATTATCTGTCTATCCATCTATGTATCTGTCCATCTGTCATCTATGAATCCACCAGCCCGTCGATCTCTGTTTTCATAAGAAAGCCACCCTAGTGCATTCATATCCTGATAGAAAAAGCCCAGAGACGGGGAAGATGTGGGTGGGGGGAGAGGAGAGAGGGGAGAGCTGGGGAGTGTCTGAGTGAGCGAGATGAACACAGTCCTGCATGGGCTGGCCTCCGTGAGGACAGGGCAGGCCACCTGTGCAACGGGAGGGTCAGCAGGGCCCTGAGTGGTGGGTGGGCCGGCAGGGGAACCCCTGTATTTTGCCAGTGCAGAGGCAGTGATGTCATCAGCTGAGAGGGATTTGGGACCACAGGACTGGGAGGCAGAGGCACAGACAGTGGGGCATGAGAGGGCTGCAGAGTCGCTGCCCTCCGGGACCCCAGCTGTCTTTGAGATTAGGGATCTTGAGGTGAGATGGAGCAGTCAGTGTGTGCCATTCACTCGCCACATCCAATGGCTGGAGCTGGAACAGGGAGAGGGTCGGGAGGCTTTGCCGAGTGACTTTGAGAAAACCAGAGAAGAACAGAGGATCTCAGGATGGGATTGATCCTGGAGCAAGTGAGGACCCGAGGGAAGAAAGCAAAGGGACAACCAGACGAGTCCCTGGGTCATGCATCCCAGTGGGACTGAAGGATCCTTGGAGTTGGTTATGAGAGGAATGTGCTGGAAAGAGAGGAGGCTGAGGTCACAGTGGAACAACTGAGAGTGTAGAGGTGGCTTACAGGATGGTGTCTGTGGAGAGACCGCCATGGCAGTCCAGGCTCGACGGGTTCCCATCGACTGGCTGCACCTGCCCCTTGGCGTCATTTAAGCCGCATCCTTCCTCCCCTCCCCCAGTGAGGCCAACTCGGCCAGTGTCGGGCTGCTCGCCCACTCTGCTTAAAGCTCCATGGGACACACCTGCCCGTAAGAACAGGGTTCCTATGTGTAGAGCAAGAGAATATATCACGCTGTGAACATTTGCCCCTGTACCCCGGGTGTCACTCACACCTGCATCTTGGAGATGACGGTCTTGGTCTCCTTCAACCTTGCATGCAGTTGGTGCCCGATGGCCACTGACTCCAGTGATTTGTGGAGGACGGAAGGTCAGAGGGAGACTCTGGTGGACAGACTGCCTGCCCTGCACTGTCCTCTCAGGGAAGAGGGTTCCTCTTGGGGAGAATGGGTTGGATGGGCTCAGGGAGGGTTTGTGCTGGGTCGTCCCTTGCAGGAACCAAGCTGAGACAGGCAGATGGCCTTCGAATGTGACACAGCGTTGCGCAGCTCTCATCAGAGAGACCCCGGGAAGTCCCAGGCATGCTCTCCTTCTCAGTCACTTGTGAAGGAGAGGGGCTCAGCGGATTCCTGGAGCTGTCAGATGCCACAGGCAGCAATGACAAGGATGGTCCTGCCTCTCTGGGTCTCACAAACGTGTTCCCAGGACACTCCCAGCAACCTCCAGGTCCTTCCAGGGAGACAGCCTTCCCAGTAACACCAGAACACCACCTGCAACGTTGTCATTTACCGGTTTATTTAACCAATTCAACAGAGAAACACAGCTTTACTGTACTCCAGGTGGTGAGGGTTGGAGGAAATCGGAAGAGCGGGAAAAGTCCAGTAATCAGCAGAGGAAATGAAGCTAGGGAGAGGCCAGGAGAGGGACCAGGTCTAGGATCCTCACAGGAAGGTGGGTGTTGGGCCTGGGAATTTGGCCTTGGAGTGTGCAAAGTTGTGCCCTGGACCTTGATTTGCTAGTCTGTGAAATGAGGACAATCACTCAGGGGGATTTGTGCAAAGACCCAGAAGATGGAACCATAGTCGTGCGTTTGTGCCAATGAACGCCGGTCCTGGTTTTCCATTTTCTCTTGGAGCCACTGGGAAGACGGGGGCTGGGTGGGAGGAGGAGCAGGCAGGCCTTCCTGTCACCTGACTCTAGGATGCATTGGGATTTATCACTTTCCCCATGAAGAGAATGTTGTGGCTGCCTTCCTGATACACGAGCAGCAGGAAGGGCTTGTTGAAGTGAACGGCCGGGATCTGGTGCTTGGGAAAGTACCTGAAGCTGGCGACGTTTTCCTTATCTGTCCCTTCCTCATCCATGGTCAGCTCCACCCTGTGCACTGCCTTTGGGGACCAAGGTTCACAGTGTCAACCTGAGCAGGAACAGCCCCTTCCCCCAGGAGGCACCACCCTGACCCTCAGTCTGAGCTGGGCCCAGAAAACTAGAGGCACGACCTGGTCTGTCCTGTCTACCATCTCCAGGCCTCCAGGAGGCTCTGCAGCCGTCCACTTGCATGGGCCAGGGCTCCCTAAAGCGCAGATCCAGCCAGCCACTTCCTGCTGGAAGCCCCTGTGGCCCCCTCCCCCCTCACTGAGTGACCTCAGAGCATCGTCGTCTGGTGAACAGGATCCTTTAGTAACTGGTTCCAAGAGCTGCACCCACAGCCCTTCCCATGCCCCATGGGCTCATCCCTCTTCTCCCCAACTTCCTTTTCCCAAGGTTAGCCAGTATTTCTGGGCATTTCCTCTTCCTGTTCCTTGGAGTGTCCCATAGTGTGTTGTATCCTCAGGACCCGTCTCTGGGGATCTCACTCTGCTGCCCCTTCCCTGGGGAACGATGTCCATCCCCACCGCACATCCGTTTGTAACCTCCTTCTGCAGCCGGACCCTCCTTGCGTAACTCCCTCTCCCCATGTTTACATAACCTCCCTGTCTCTAGGAGGTGTCAGCATTGCAAACACACATCCGGCTTTGAGGCCCCCAGAGCTCCTTCTCCCAACAGAGCAGGTGGTGAGCTCAGGAGCACCCTCCTCCCCAGGGTCAGCCCTCTCCAAGGAACAGCCATCCTCAACACCACTGGGTGCTGCAGTTCTCCATTTCTGCCTCCAACCTCCCCAGGAGCCAGAACAGCCCTGTGAGCCCCACGGGTGCTGCTCAGTGAACGAGGAAGCGGGCAAACCTGCGCACTGGTGTAAAAACCCTGGACTCCAGGCTGTAACTTACCTTAGAGACCTTTATGGGGATGGTTTGCACAGAGATTCCCGAGAGGCCTATGCCGTAACCAAACATATCCAGGCCGCTGGGTGAGAGCACCAGCTTGTCCAGGTCATAATTCCCAGTCAGGGATAATTTGGGAAAATACAACTTCCTCCTGCTACTCGGGAGAATGAGAGAAGAAAACCAAACTTAAATAACATCCTTAATACACTGTCCCCCGCCCGCAGCCTCACTTCAGAATAGTGGAGAAAGACTCGTTTCAGCCACGTTTACCGGGCAGCCTCCAGAACGTTCCATTTTATCCTCATGGTGCTCCTGGGGCTAGGTGCCCAGAGTATCCACTTCACAAATGAGAAAATGGGGGTGGTTGAAGAGGTTCGGAGTTTGCCCAGAGTCACACGGTTTCTAAAAAGCTGGCATTGACCCCAAAGCACGGGTATTTCTGGAGCCTGCTGGCTGTGGCCCCCCGGGGTCCAGTGGAACGAGAGATTCTCCTGTTCGTGCATCTGTCTATCTTTGGCTCAACAGGTTGCTTCATCCCACTTCCTTCCTGTGAAGGTCCAACCTCGGGGGCCCTGCGTGCTGGGGCAGGGCTGAGCCCCCCCTTCCTGCCACCTCCCAGGTTCACCTTTCCACGTCTGCACGTCAAAACCACAGGAGGGGAGATGATCTCACTCACAGGTGGAGAAGTCACTCTCCCAGAAGCCGAGAGCGGAGGGGTGGTCGCCTGGGCTGGGAGGGGGATGGGAGAGGTTGGGCTAAGTGCCAGTCACGCAGAATGAACGGTTCTGGATTTCTCTTGTGCAGCCATGGGCTGCATGCTTGAACTTGGCCGAGAGCAGCTCTTACGTGTTCTCACCAGACACACAAAGAAAGGCACCGGAGTGAGGTGATGGATAACTAACAAGCTGGATTGTCCTAAACAGTTCACCATGTCCGTGTACCTTGAGACATTGGTGGCCTCGAAACTATAGACAATTGTTGTTTTTTAAGGACAGCAATATGGTTAGGAGGGGGAAAGAAAATCACAAAAATCAGAAAACAAAGACTAGCCCCTGTGGGGACTGTCCCTGCATGGCGGTCACAGAGCGGCTCTGTGCGCATAGGCTCGGGGATGACTGTGCGCTGAGAATGTGTCTTCCCAGCTTTAGTGTCTCTGCTTCAGCCCCAAGAAAGTGTGTCTCCTCCCCCACTGTGACTCTCAGGCAGCCTCGGCTAGCTGGAGCCTCCTGACAACCCAGGGGTGTCCTTGGGGGACCATGTAATAAGGAGCTGTGTTGGAGGCTCCCTGCTATCTCCAGGGGAAGGGCCTGGGGGAGATGAGAAGGCCCTGCCAGGAGGAGCTCAGTGGGGCTCACGCTGGGACCTGCGGGGTATCTGGAGGTGAACGAAGACTCGGGGCTGCAGCGGTGCCCAGGCCCCACCTTCCAGAACCCACTGACCCGCATGATTTATGGTCTAGAACAAGAGCCACTTGGACTCCCAGATGATGCCAGTCTGCAATGACTGGGGACGCATTTGGCTGTCCTAACTGGGAGTGGGGTGTGGCACTGATACCCAGTAGATGAAGCAGCTGAGCCAGGAGGGAAGACCCTTGGCAGCCACAGGCTGTGGGCTCCACGGGACTGTGGCTGTCTATGGGTCCTATGAGGAGCTGCACGTCACGTGCAGATCCTGTCCAGGAAGCGCTAAGTTAAACATCCCTCATTTCTTTACAGGTTCTCGTGGCTTCCAAATGCCAAGGTGATCTGTAATCTGAAGGGAGGCAGGTGGTGACATACGATGACGTGGATGGTGATGATTTTGAAGCCCTGTTCCCTTCTCTCAGAGAAGTGGAGGGCTGAGTCCTGCGTGACAATCAGGGTGTGACCTAGTTCCAAACCCTCATGTCCTGGCCCCAAGAGCAGCAGGGCCTCACTCCCCGCTGCAGAGGGTTAGCGGTGGCTCCCGGGAGAGCCTTGTGCTACTGGGGGGCGGACACATCTGGGGACTTACTTCAGTGGGAAGGGCTCAGTCCACTTGTCCAAATTGTCCTTCATCAGCGCCTCCTCCACCTGGGCGAGCGTCCCCTTCTCAGGAAGAATGAAGAGAGCAGTGGTGTTGCAGACGCAGGGCACCTGGAGGGCGTGGCTGTGGAGGTGGCGGAAGTACTGCAGCTGGAACCAGCCCAGCCTCTGCATCATGGGCACCGGGACGCTGAGCTCCTTGCTCACCGAGAAGGGCATGATCCTAGTGTCCTTCGGGTCAAAGCGGTACTTCCATTTCCCTGATGAGAGAGCAGGTGGGTGTCAGAGGGGACCGGCAGTGTCCACGGGCATGATGCCATTCATTTGGAGATACTTTGGGAGGAGCTGCTATGTGCCAGGCACTGTCCTTGTGGCAGAAGATACAGGCACACAGGAGAGGTCCCTGTCCACATGGATCTTACACCCCAGGGCTCACAAGGAACAAGACGAATAAGAAAATAGGTGTGCCCGATGGTGATGAGAGAAATAAAGTCGGGGAAAACATGAGATGTCAGGGAAGGGCAGTTACAATCGCACACAAAGCTTTCCTGAGAGTGTGGCATGGAGTGAAGACTTAAGAGGCCGAGGGACTGAGCCATGGAATACCTGGGCAAGAACCCCCAAGAAAGGAAATTACCTGTGCAAAGGCCCAGTGGCAGGAGTGGTCCTGTCATGGAGCAGAAGGAGTGAGAGAGGGTGTGGGAGGTGAGGCCAGGGAGAGACGGGTCTGTCAATTTCCTCCTGTGACAACTGGAGGAACTGGGGGTGGTGTAGCTTCCTTAAAGGACACTTGTGAAAGCAAAGTCCTGAGTGTGACTCCTGGCACACAGCAGCTGCTCAGACCCCAAAGTCTTCGTGCTCAAAGCACAAACAACACCCCCCACTTTGGCGGTGATGGGAAGGGTCACCAGATCACATATGGGATGCCCAGTCAAATGGGAATTTCAGGAAGTGAGCATTGTTAAGTGAGAGCCCCGCTCCGACGCGGCTGGTTTGTTCCCAAAGCTGGCAGTCGGTCCCTAAAGCTGTCCAGGAGCCTTCCCCAGGGCAGTGGCTCCCAGGCTGAGTCCTGAAGGGTGTGCCCACTGGCAGGAAGAGGCAGGGAGGCGGCAGTAACAGGTGGCCACAAAAAGACCCTCAAGCAAGAGAGATGGTGCTCTTCGGGGGGGGGTGCCATTCTCCCTAGCCTGGGGTAGGAAGGTCACTGGGGGACTGTCCCTCCTGCAGGATGAAGCATCATCCTGAGGGTCCCAACTGGGCTGGGCACTGAAAGGATGAGGCAGTGAAGCTCAAGGTCAGATTTGGCTTCTAGAAGGATGACCGTTCCAGGGTGGACACTGGATCGGGGAGTCTGTGGGCAGGAAAGCCAAGGACACAGAGGACCCGTTAGGAAGCCGTTGCAGTGATTTGAGTGGACGGCAGAGTAACCTGAGCGAGAACAGCGGCCACGGAGGGGGCCACGGTCCCGTGGAAGAGCCACGGAGAGGGAAAGTCCACAGAGTGCCGTGGTGGCTCAGGTACGTGGTGCAGGAGAGAAGAGAGACCCTGTGAGGGGACCTCAGGGTCCTGGCTTGGGGCAGGAGTTGGGGCCATCTACTGAGATTTGGAGGAAAGGAGTAGGAAGAGGGGGACTTAGAGGGCGGAGGAGGTGATGGCAAGACGTGCTTTCTGTTTGGAGCATGCCTCGCTTGGGGTGCTGCTCTCAGAAGGAGGTGACCAGGCGGCTGTGGGGATGGGGGTCTGGGTGTAGAGAGCTGGGGGTCTTCAGTGTGTGGGAGGGTCAGAGGCTGCAGCTTTGGCTCAGCCCACCTGAGGAGACTGCCGACCGAGAGGAGGGGGTGGCTGAGGGGACTCTCAGCAGAGCCAGCAATGCACAGGGCTGCACGTGACGGGCAGGTGCACTGAGCCAGAGGGCACGGGAGGGCCAGGAGAGCCACTCAGCACCCCCAGGGGGGGCGGGGGGAGGTAAAACAGCCCATGCAGCCAGCAAGGTGGCGGGAGGGGGGCAGGGGGGCGAGGTTCCCTGGCTCTTTGGTGGTTGGCAAGAGGCAGTGGTTTCTTTGGTGGTTGGCGAGAGGCAGTTTGATCAAAGGATTTGAAGGGCGGGTTGTCGTCTCAAGTCTGTCCACAGACCCCTACAGGCAGTTCACCATGTAGCGGTCACCATCTTGACAGATGCCTTTGGAACAAAGGGTCCCTCATATTCTTTTGTCACTCAGCCCTACAGATGATGCAGTTGGTCCCGCGGGAAGGTGTCCCTTTCTAACGCTCTGCTTAGGACAGGGAGGGAAGAGGGGGTCGCAGCTATGCAGAAAAGACCCCAGAGGAGGGAGGCCGAAGTCAGAGGAACGGCAGCTCCAGGCAGGGGCAGGGGACATTTCCTCCTTGGACAGGACAGGGCTTAACTTTGCAATAACCTGCAGGGAGGTCAGTAGAGGTCACTTACCTTTAAAGAATATATAATTTGCCAGAATCAAAACCGAGTGCATCTTCATCCCCTCAAAAAAGGTCTTGATTTTGCCCCCGGTCTTCTTCTCCATGGCCAGGTCCATCTGATGCCTGGCCACCCGGTAGTTCTTGAAGGACGTGGCGTGGATCTCCGTGCGGTACAGACTCCGGGCTCTTTGGGCAAACTTCCGCCTTGGGTTTCTACCCTGACCCAGAAAGAGCATGCTGCCGGTATCCATCCGGCACGCCCCCGGGGCTGACAGGAGGGCTTCCAGGAGCTGACTGGGGTGTTCATGCAACCTGCTCTCTGGGACCCCAGTGAGATGAAACCCCAGATCTTGCAGAATCTGGGGGCGGGCTTTTGGCTTGGCCTGGAGGGCTAGCAGCGTGAGGGGAGCGGAAAGGCTCAGTGGGGAGAAGAGCACATTCCTGTCTGGGTCTGGGGCCACCAACTGTTGGTACAGGCTGAAGGCAAAGTGGGAATTGTCCAGGAGGAGGGAGGAGGTTGGCCCGTCCACCGGGGTTGTATGATTTTCCTGGGCAGGTGCACTTTGGCCATAGGCATGAGGACCCAGCCTGGTCACCAGCAGCCAGAGAGACAGAATAGGGTATGCCATCCTAGACAAAGAGACACAGCACCGTCGTCACCCAGCTAGGCCACACAGTCCATCAGGGCATGTCGTCCAAAAAGGCCCCTGCTGCTCTGCCCTTCCCTCCAGGGCCCATAGGATCAACCTCAGTGGTGACTCCCGGGGAACAGGGAGTCCTCGGGTGCAGCTTGGGCTTTGTGGACAGACTGGTTCTTGAAGCCCGACTCTGGCTTGCTCTGCAGTGTCGTCACAGACAACTTCCTGTCCCTCCCTCGTGGAGACCAGGGGTCTCCTGTACACCTGCCGCGTGGACCTGTGCGAGGCTTGAGGTGTGAACAGCAGGTGTTCGGGGAAATATAGGTGCTAGGGACAAGGAGCCCTTGCTGGGCTTGCAGACTTCTTTGGATTCTAGTTGGAATAGCGTGCCCTGTGTATAGTATGTCCTCAGTGTGTGTGACATACAGCCAAATCGCATCACCCTCCTAACTCTGTTGGCCAAACCCATTCCTTCCTGGGCCCTTCTCAGCCCTTTGTGTCTGGAGAGGGCTAGGCTCTCCTGCCCATGGTGTGGGAGGCCTGGCAAGAGCAGGGGACCTGGTGTCCATCCAGCTCCCTTGCTGCCTCAGCTGCAGGCAGCCAGCGGCTCTTGCCTCCCTCCCCTGTGGCTCCAGCCCTCTCTGTTTCCTCTGAGCTCCTCCAGCTCAGAGCAGCCCCCGCCTTCACCCACCTCTGGTGCCTCCCTTTCCTTTAACCTTCTCTTCATTAAAGGCATGTACCCCGAACCACGGGGTGGCTCCATTCCATCTTCATGCAACCTCTGCAAAACAGTGACCCCAGGGAGGTCAAGGGTCCTATGCAAGGTCGACATGGGCCAAGGAGTGAGCTGGGATTCCAGCCCAGGTCTACTGCCTCCAGAGGGTGGGGCTTCTTTTGTTCTTTACTGGCCCCCTATTTGAAAGTCAGGGGTTTGTCTGCAATAAGATTTGCAAGCTCATGAACCCTCCAGGTCCTGTTGTACCCACAGCTCTGTAAGACTGCACCCCAGCTACTGCCCCAGCCATGCAGGGAGTTCTCTCCCCAGGGGCAAACCGGGAGCCCCAGGGGTCAGAGTGAAAGCAACTTTTACTTACAGATTGTGTACTGGGAGTCTGATGCATCCACAGTGCCCTTGGATCTGGCCTATCTGGGCAGCTGTCCTGGGCTGTGTGGGTAGCAAATATCATTTGCCAATCCTGGTGGTGACAGTCATATGGGAAGCTCAGCTTGTACCTTCCTCAGGCAAATGTTCCAGCTACACTGGGTGGTGCTTAATGGGGCATAGGGAACTCGAGGGACAGAGACTCCTGAGCTTCACTAGCAGTGGAAGGAGGAGGTTCACCCTGTACTCAGGAGGAAGGACAGACATATCCTCTACCAGGGAACTGCTTTCTCATTGTCCCTCTCTCTTGTTCATCCATCCATCCACCTGTTCATCCATCCATCTATCCATCCATCTATCATCCATCTATGTATCCATCCATGCATCCATCCATCCATGCATCCATGCATGCATGCATGCATCCATCCACCCACCCACTTCTGAAGCACCTGCTATATGTCTGACCATGGGTGGGCATTGAAGGGGGAATAGGGAAGAGGACATCTAGTCAGGGCCTTCAGAGCCATTTCTTGCTTGAGGCCCTCAATGCCTCTTGTGTCTATCCTCAAATACCTTTGGGGTAGTGGGTGAGGGTGTAGGAGAAACTCTGATCCTAAATTGATTAAAAATCCCTGAATTGACAAAGTTTCTGTGGAACAAACAGAATTCCACTAGAATTCACTAATATGAGGCCTCCACCAGGGAACTGAGAGAGGCTCCTGTGGGCATATGGCCCGGAGCTGGTTCTGGAGAAGGAACAGGATGCTCACAGGAAGGCAGGAGACTCGGAGCCTAGCGCCTCCGCACTCTTCCCTTTTACTGTCTCCGGGCATGAGCAGTAATTTACTTCTCTATGGAAAAGCCCAAGGTAAATATGGGAGAGTACCCCAGCGATAGTAATAACATGTGCAGGGACAGCAGCTGCTCTTGCTTACCTGCCGAAGGTCCTCTGGCCGAGAGGGGATACAGAATTTGCTAAAATGACCCCATAAGGAAACATTAGTCATGTTTTGCAGACAAGCTCAGAAAAGGTGGAGTCAATTGCTCAAAAACAAGACTGAGGGCTGGGGCTGGGGCTCAGGGGTAGAGCGCTTGCCTAGCACATGTGAGACCCTGGGTTCTTTTCTCAGCACCAAATATAAATAAATAAAATAAAAGTCTATTGACAATTTAAAAAATATGCCTATTAAGAAAAAAACCCAAGACTGAAGCACATTTAGCATGCAGAGTTCTGTGATACCCAGATCCACATTCCACTCAACCCAGGTGACTTCTTTGGAAGTTACATTCTACGGTTGCTGCAGAGGTGACTTGGTGAGGCTTTCGAATACTAAAAGTCGTTGTCAAAGGGCCTGCCATCTATGAACACACATGCAAACACACAACTTGGGTTTTTCTGGTTCATAATTTCCTCCCCAGTTTCTCTGGGCACACTGTCGTGGGAGGAAATGGTTAATAGTTTTTATCTGATACATCGATGTCCAGCAGTTGCCGGGGCTGCCTGAGAGTGCGGATTGGGGAAGCATTTGGGACCCTGTCTCTTCATGGGGGAGCATCTTCCTCCATCCTGGGAATGGGGAGAGGAAGTGGTGAGATGACTCATATGTGAAATGAACTAACCCTGAGCTGGGATATTGTCCTAGTCATCTTTTAAGAATGGCAATGTGAGACCTGAGGCGACTTAATAAAGAAGAGATTTATTTATTTAGCTTACAGTTTTGGAGATTCACGGGCATGGCGCTGGCTTGGCTAATTCAGGTGATGGCCTTTGTGCTGGCAAAGTCCTGAGGTGACCCATGATATCACATGGCAAGATACAGAGAGCACACGTGTCCATGCCTGAGTGTCTGCTTACATTCCCTCTTTTTTATGAAGCCATCAGTATTCAATCATGGGGTGGGGGCTGGAGATGTGCTTGCTTAGCATGCATGAAGCCCTGGGTTCAATCCAAAAAAAGAACTCAGTCATCGGGCTCCACCTTAATGACTTTATTTAAACCTAATCACTTTCCAAAGGCTCCACTTGGAAACCCCATAGTTGGATTTCGTTTTCTATTAATACTATTAACATATGCATAAATGTGTATGTGGGGGGAACCATATTCAAACCACACCAGACATCTAGGAGTTCCAAAAAGAATGGAGAGAGCAGTTCCTAGGAACTAGGTTACCTAAATCCAGGACCAAAATCTAAAACCCTGGGGTCCTAGTGAGGACAATAGATAACTGGTCTGGGAAAGGAGAACATGGAACAGGAGGGGACCTCATACAGTAAGATATCCCAAATAGTCACTCCATGAAAACCTTGAAAGATGCAAAATGACGCCAGTCTCTCGCCAAGGAAAAGTTCAGAATGAGAAAACCTAGCCACTGGAAAACATTTTAGAGGTCATTTGGGACAGGATGGTGAATGGTTTCCATGGAGACTGCCATTTTGGATTTCTTTCCAATGTTCCTGGAGTCTTATGGAAGCGACATCTCTGAGCAAAGATGGAAATGAGCCACCGATGATTATGGACATCTGTCTTGGGTGTGAGAGAAGAGGGAATGGCACCCTGGCCACATGCTTGTCAATTTTGGTAGAGCACAAAGTTCTTGTAGATGAAGAAGAAGAGGTTGGGAGAAGTGACAGGGACTCACCAAGAGCTACATGCTGAGAACAAGTGAGAATTCCAATCCTGTCTTCTGTTCCCCATAAGCAAGCATTCGTTCTATCCTACCGTACATTAACTTAGGACTGGTAAGAAATTTTGGCTGATTCTCGCGGCGTCCGACGGTGATAAACACCTGATATCAGCTGAGTATTGATTTTGACCTCCACGGTCCTGCTGACCTTCACCAGTAGCCTCTTGTTTATTCAACAAACAAGCCTTTGAGCCTGTTTACGAATCCTCATGAGGCTTATCTCAATCCTATTTCAGGATATTGGCACCCACTTCTTGAGCACCTACTGTGTACCTGGAGCCTTACATGTTAACACCCTATCCAATCCTTTCAGTGACCTTAGAAGGAAGCTACTATTACCCTCATCTTTGTGAATGAGAGCGTGGGGTCAAGTGGCTTGCCCAAGGGGGTGTGGCCTTTTCATGGTTAGTCCCAGGAGTGGAATCCCAGCTCCAACCCCTCCCATGCTATGCCAAGACTTCTTGGGTTCCTGTGGGTTTTGAAACAACCTTATCTGATGTCTTTATTTGTAGAACAGCATTGGGTGTCAAAAGTCAACCAGGGCAAAACCTCCATGCATATAGCCCCATTATTGGGCATCAGTTGGCCTTCAGACCCCAGTGGACAATGACCCCTCTTCATTATGACTCACGTCTTCCCAAGGCAAACATTAGCCCGTGCTCAGTTCCCAAGTCCTCACATGCCACGGTAGGAACTCTCTTTACTAAAATGCTGCCCAAAGTCCTGCTTTCATTATTATTCAAGTTCAGGTTCAAGGATGTGAACAGGCAGCTGCCAGTTCGCAGATACCTTCTGTTGTGAACATCAGAAAGAAGTGTCTCTGTGAGTTTGCTGACTTAAACAACTGAAACCTAATGTTCCATGGTTCTTGGGGCAGGGCGTTCTACGGAGAAGTGAAGTGAGTTCTGAGAGAAGGATCTGCTCCGGGCCTCTCCCTTGGCTTCCAGATGGCTAACTTATGTTCACACGGTGTCCTCTCTGTGCCTTTGTAATGTCCCCTCTGTTTGCATGTCTCCTGTTCAATCCCCCCTTTACATAGGGACACCAGTCATGCTGGATTAAGGATTACCGAGTAATCTCATTTTAAGTTGATTACCTCCAGAAAAACTATCTCTGAATTACAGTCACATTCTGAGATATCGGAGACTAGAGATTCAACACATGAATTTGGGGGAGACATAATTCAACCCATAGCAGCCTCTCTT